AAACACCCTGCTAAAGGACCCAGCTAGAGCTTGAAGCTTTCTGGCTACACAGGTATTCAATAGCTTCATTGCCAACCTTTTTGGCACACAGGCTCATCCTAGGTGTATCCTGCATTAGGGTGGTACACTAGGCAGAGCCCTGAAGAGCAAGGTCCTGGTGCCTGCTCTTTCCATGAGAGCATCACTTTAAACTTGTGGGTCACTTTAATCTTGTGGGTGTAATTTTGTTCCTCCACATGATTGTCAGTCATGCCAAATATGCCTGTGATCTCAGACCTGGAGAGACTAAATGCAGGGAATTAAGAGTTTGAAGCCAGCTTGGGTACCTAGCAGGACCCTGGCTCAAAAAGAAAAAAAGAAAAGAAAAAAAAAACAAAGACACTTTAAGTTTCACTGAGTTTTAGTCAAACCTTTCTAATCATCATAGGGTAATTATGTGACTTATTGTAATTTACTATAGTGAGCTACCAAACTTTGCAAGTGATAGTATTTCCATTTTTGCTTCTGCCATTGGAAGCTTAACTCCAAATAGGCAGTCATTCCAAGTATTGGTAGCTCACGCCTGTCATCCTAGCTACTGAGGAGGCTAAGATCTGGAGGATCTTGGTTCGAAGTCAGCTCAGACAGAAAGGACTGTAAGGATTCCTTCTTAAAGTAGCAAAATGTCAAACTGGAGGTGTGGCTCCTATACAGCAGCAGCTAAAATCAAGTAAACAAGATGAGGGAGGGCATAAGATGAGGGAGGGCATGAGGTCTTGGGTTCAAGTCCTTGTTGTGGCAGGTCCACATGCCACACACACATATACAACCCCCCGCCACACACACATACTTACAATCTTTCCTTATAACATCATAGCATGTAGTTTGTATCCCCAACTTTGCCTTGACTTTAGCTACCATCCTTTGTTTGTTTGTTTGTCAGAGTCTTTATGGTTCTGTTCTTATTATATTTTATGGGCCTCAGGCATTTGGAGCAAGGCAGGATCAAATAATATTTCCATAAATAAGATCAGGGGAAGAGAAAAGACCCAAGGGTCCTATGTGCTAGCTTAACTCCAGCACTGAGGGACTTGTGGCTCACTACAATTAACCCTTGTGAGTCTCTATTTGTTTAATGGTCATGTGGGTGAATTCTTTGTTCCAAGCATTTTGTAAGAATGAGGTGAGATGACTATCTTAGCTAACATGGCTGATATAAAGTAGATAAGCTGCAATAGCCAATTCTCTTCTCATCTTTCCCGAGTCAGCCCCGAACAAACCAGCTGGCTTTGCTATGACCTGGTAGGATTCTGTCTCATTCTGTGGTCTCTATTACTGAAACATCATCAGTAAACTTGGGCTACTGGGTTTCCAGCCCTTCAAGCTGGGCGTCTGCTGCTAGGATTAAATTACAGGGAGCCTGGGATTCGGAAGGCACTTGTTTCACACAACGTTTCCCACGAGCAAACCCCAATTTGGCGGTTAAACTCAGAAACCAGGCAGTAAGGGACCATTCCTGCTTCTGCTTCGTGTCCCCATTTCAGTTATAAAACACGGCTGAGTACATTTGCCAACTATGAACCCTACAGGGAGGTTGATGGTTCTGAAAACTGCTTTAGAGTCCTTGGATGAAAGATGCTATAAATTTGTCACTAATGGGAGAAAACACACTATAGGTAAGGTATTCTCCCTAACCTCCTTAGAACCTCATTGTTCTTCTTTGCAGAAGCAAACACCCTTGAGACAGCAGAGGGACTGCTTCTGCAAGATGCCTATGAGTGACAATGCTAGCATTTGCGCAATCAATATTTTCATCCATAAATAACAAGCATTAAGTGGCCATGGGTGGGGTGGGAAGAGGTTCTGTCAAAAAGCAAATGAGCATGTATTCCTGAATCCAGTGGAAAGGTAAATTTCTTTTTCTTTTTTTTCTTTTTCTTCTTTCTTCCTTTCTTTCTCTTTTTAATATATATTTTTTATTGTAAAGATACTATACTGTTACATGAGTAAGGTAATGAGTACATTTCCCAGTCCTGGGGTCTTGAACTCAGGGCCTAGGTGCTGTACCTGAGCTTCTTTGGCTCAAGGTTACCACTCTACCACCCGAGCCACAGTGCCACTTCTAGATTTTTGTGGCTAACTGGACATAAGGGCCTCATAGCTTTTCTTGCCTGGGCTGGCTCTGAACTGAGATCTTCAGATCTCAGCATCCTGTGTAGCTGGGAGTATAGGCATGCAATACTAGTACCCAGCCAGTCAAATGCTCTACCCTGATCTGCATATCACCTTCCTTCCATTTCATTTTTAGAAAGATTTAGGGGAATTGATAGCAGAGATTTTTTTTCTTAAGAGAAATTTATAGGTCTGAAAGTTATTTTACAACAAGCTTTGTGTGCATTTATGCCTGTGTGTATGTGTGTGTGCACATGGGCATGCACAATATTGGGGCTCAAACTTGAGGGCTAAGTCCTGTCTCTTTTTTGTCAAGGCTAGTATTCTATCACTTGAGTTACAGCCCTCCTTCCAGATTTTTGCTGGTTAACTGGAGATAAGAGTTTCACAGACTTTCCTGCCCTGGCTGGCCTTGACCCATAATCCTCAGATCCCAGCTTCCTGAGTAGCTATAATTACAGGAGTAAGCCACTGACAGCTGGTCCAACAAGCTTTTATGAGGTTGTCTTTAATTCTTATGAATAAATCTAGCTGGTTCCTGAGGGAGTGGGAAATCTAAACCTAATTTTTGCTCTGCAGCTCCTCCCCCCACATTCCTACTTCCTTCCAAGAAGGATCTCAGAAGCCTTGAGGACAGGATGCAACACAGGGAGAATGAGGGGTGGGGGGTACCACTTCCTACAGGAACCTGGCTCCTTTCTCAGTTGGCACGAAGCTCACAAGCCCTCTGGAAAGAGGTCCTCAATTTTCAAAACTAGTTGCCTCATTTTGCCCTAGGTAGGTTAAATGATGTCAGAAAATACAGCAATAGAGATTTTTCTCTTTCAAAGGGTAGAGATCTAAAAATGACCATGACCTCTTGTTTCTGTGTCTTGGAGTTCATTTTGATATGCACCATTCTATATGGTCATATGTGCATAGTTATTGAGCTCTTGTGGGCCTCTTCTAAGAATATCCTGCTCTGGTCTCACTGTATGAATGTTTAGAGTGCTGTGTATTAATCATGTCCAAGAGTAATTGTTTGGGTTTACTTGTAGATTTATAGGCACATTCTGATTATTAGAAATGAGGTCCAAAACGAGCTTTACAACATTGGTGCGGGGGGGGGGGGGGGGGGAAGGGGGGGGGAGGGGGGGAAGGAGAAGGATTGGGATTAGGGGGGGAGGGGGGAGGCTGGGAAGGGATGTGAAGGGTAAACAAAGGAGGAGGCTGCAATGCTTGGTAAGAAATGTACGCATTATCCTGCCCATGTAACTGTAACTCCTCTGTACAGTATGTTCACAAATAAAATTAAATTTAAAAAAAAAAAAAAAAAGAAATGAGGAAAGCCATGCAGACTATGTTTCTTTGGGGTCTGGTTTTGTAATATACTGTTTGTGGTTCTTTCCGCTCCCATTTTCTTTTGTTGTTTATTCTCTCTTATTGCTGTATTTGATTTCTGTGCCCTTTGTCTTGTATGTAAATCTATCTGTTTTGGGGAGATGGGAGGGTAGCACAGAAATGGTGGGACAAAGGGGGAACCAATTCGGTAGTGATAGTCACTAGACACTATGTTGGAAATGAACTAAACAACTGGGATGGAGGAGATGGTAGGAGAAAAACTGGGAAAGAATGAGGGAGTAGGTGACACTGTTCAAAAGGAATGTACTCATTACCTGGCTTATGTAACGGTAACCCCTCTGTACATCACCTTTGCAATAATTTTTTAAATGACCATGACTTAATGTTTCAAATCTTCTTGATTATGTATTAATAAATAACTGAAACAATAAGGTCCACATCATTGATGTCATTACTCAGTAGTTTTGCTCTTCTACTATGTACCAGACCTTGGCATAGGTACTTAGCAGCTTGGAAATACTTAATAATCTCTCATAGAAACAATCAGCAGAAGTTTATCCACATCTAAAAAAACATTTTCAAGCTGTAACATGATTCCTTGAGATGGGAGGAGTTTAGATAAAGAGGTAATGGGACAAAAACTCATTCATGCCAGTCATGGGTGGCTCATACTTGCATTCCTAACTACACAAGAGTCTGAGAGCTGAAGAGCATGGCTCAAAGCCAGCCTGTGCAGGAAAGTCCATGAGACTCATATCTCCAAGTAATCAGCAAAAAGTTAGAAATGGAGTTGTGGCTCGAGTGGTAGAGCAAAGAGCTAAGGGACAGCACCCAGGTAAATTCAAACTCCAATACCAGTACAAATAAATAACCTCATTCTTTTCAGGTTATCCTGGAAAATTCCTATTTCTGGGCACTTGCATGGCTACAACACATTAAATATTGTGTCCACTGAGATCTTCCAGACTTTTCTCTGAGGGAACTCTCCCTGGTGTATTCTTCAGAGTAAAAAAGTAAGTGCTGTGGTTTAAATATGGTTTGCCTGTCCTGAAACTTGTGTTGCAGTTTGATGTGCCTTGTGGTGGGGTCTTTTGGAAGTGGTTAGGTTGTTAAGAGGGATCAATGCCTTTCTCCAATTGAGTGGAGAGCAGGTTGCCATAAAGACTACCTCTCCAGTTTTGTCTCTTCTGCATGAACTTGTCTATTTTTCCAGCCTGTGCCATGTTGTAACATAGTACCAAAGCCCTTGCTGGAAGCTGCCACTGGACTCTTAGACTTTCTAGCATCCAGAACCTGTGCTACATATACATCTTTCCTTTATTAATTCCTAGTTGCAGATATTCTGTTATAGCATAGAATATGGGATAACAGGAATCGATGGACAGGATTCTGACAAAGAAAAAGAGAGAAGCTAGACTGTTTTCATTCAGGGTCTTATTGGAAGTTCCCACACATTACAGTGCATTTTTTTTTCTTGCCTAAGTCGGGGGTGCAGTGATATCCTTTACCTGTTCTATAGCCAGTGTTGTTAAGATAGACGGCAAAGGTCCGAGGTTCGTGTATTGCCTGCCATGAGGGTGAAGAGCAGTTCTCATTGTTGGTGTAGACGTTGTGGTTATGCACATACTTTCCGGTGAGCATGGATGACCTGGACGGGCAGCACATGGGTGTGGTCACAAAGGCATTGGTAAAGGTGGTGCCCCCATGTTCCATAATCTTCCTCGTTTTGTTCATGACTTGCAGGGACCCTGAAAAGCACAATTCCAGCATGGTTTAGCAATATGTACCTCACAATGGCTCACTGGTACTACATCTGTCACTCCTTACCTGCTCCTCTGACACATGACTTCCCTCCCAGGAGTTGAAGTAGCCTATAAATTGGTCAGTTCTCATCTCTAGATCAAAACAAAACATTTGAGGACTTACCGTCTCAAATGTTGTGTGGAATGATACACACATTTCAGTTTCTCTTCTCCTTAATGACCAAGGGTGGGAAAAATATAGGCTAAGCTGACCATTACAGGTACAATTTTAGATAGGAAGCAGACTCAGCAGCCTCTTGAAGACTACAGTAGAACAATAGCTTGTAACACAGAATATCAAAGCACATACTCACCACATATGAAAACACTAGGGAGAAACAGAGATTACTAACTGTAACATTGTGATCATATGAAAGAAAAAAGAAGAAGATATTAGGTAAAAGTTTCTTCAAAATAGCTGTGCTTAATTTCAAACAAAACGTTCTTCCATATAACTTGGTATTATTTAGCCAGCTAACCAAACCTCTGCCAATCTTTCTGTCAAGTGAAGACTACCAACTCATAGTTTGCTTAGTTTACATGTTGTTTGTTTGACACTGAGCTTTTATTTTGTTATTGTTTTTATTTTTTTCCACAAGGCTAGTACTTTGCCACTTGAACCACAGCTCCCTTTCTGGCTTTTGGGTGGTTCATTGGAGATAAGAGTCTCACAGACTTTCCTACCCAGACTGGCTTTGAACTTAGATCTCAGCCTCCTGAGTAGCTAGGATTACAGCCATCAGTGCCTGGCCTGCAAGCTAGCTTGTTTACTTATGAAGCAACTATGATCCTGTTATACTCAGAAGTATTTCCATGGTTGTAAAACATATTCCTTTTTACTTTCAGGATGAACTAGTAATGTAAGATTGCTAAGAAAGGAGGAGGGGAAAAAAAGCCTATTTTGATGATTATACCCAGCCAAACACTGCAGCTGAAGCACTTCCAAACACTGCAGAAAAGCACGGGCCAGAATTCAATAGTCTTTTCAGAACTTGTCAAGAAATGCACTGCAGAGTGCCTCAGCCAAGCCCATTGCATTTCAATCCCAGAGCCTCAGATTTCCAGCAGGTCTCACTCCTTCCAATGAAAGGGAGAAAGTCTGTGCTTTCCAGCAAAGAAGGAAATCATAATGCAATCCAGGCAAGCATTCAGAGCAGAAGAGAAATGCTCAACAGTCTAAAATTCCACACTTACCCTCATTTCCTCATATGTTAGCTTTTGTTCCATGTACATGATGCATGTGAGAGTACATGTGAGAGATTTCTAATAGGATGTCATAAGCTCCTTAAGATATAACTTGGCGAAGAAGGCTCCTAACAGCTCTTTCTCTTCTGGTTGTTTTCCCGGGGATGAAAAAAACCTTTTGTAGCCAGTAAATAACCTGTAGTGAAGTGCCCACTTCATGCTGAACATTCTACCAACCTCAGCATCCAGGGGAGCCATTCCCCCTTCCCCAAGTGTTCTCAGAGCACAATAACCAAAAAACCTTCTGCCTCTGGCCTTCAGTAGTAAGCTCTCTGTAGCTGAAAGCTACATGCATAAATTGTTTAAGCATATCTGCAAAGCAACATATAAGAATGTGAATTGTGGTAATGGTTCATAGAAGGAAAGAGGTGACTGGAATAATGACGCTAAGAGTTCCAAAATAAGACATGAGGACAAATGAAAGAAATGGAAGAAAAAAATGTTGGGTGGGTGAGGACCACTGCTGGGAACACAGGGGGATGACATGGGTGGCATTCTGGAGGCGACAAGAACCAAGTGGAGCCGCATGAATGGCACACTTATGTCCTGGCACGAAAAAGGAAAATTAATTTCCTCCATGAAATGTTAAAGCAGCGTTAGCAAATAACTTGAATGTAAGACAGAGATAATTTCGTTTGATCGAAGAAACAAGGCAGAGAGCCAGGTGCAATGGTACATGCCTGTAATCCCAGCAGATTGAGGTATGATGATTAGGAACTTCAGGCCAGTCGGCTACATAGCAAAATCTCATCTTGGAAAACAAACAAGCCAAACACACACACACACACACACACACACACACACACACACACACACACACACACACACGTATCTGTGGCTCACACCTCTCGTCCTATTACTACTCAGAAAGCTGAGATCTGAGAATCCCCCTTCAAAGCTAGCCTGGGCAGAAAAGTCTGTGACACTCTTATCTCCAGTGAACCAGCAGGGCTTGAAGTAAATCTGAGGCTCAAGTGGTACAGCACCAGCCTTGAGTTAAAAAGCTAAGGGACAACACCCAGGGCCTGAGTTTATGTCCCAGTACCAGCACATAAACATGTACAACACACACGCACGCAATGCAAAAGAGGGTCTTTGCTAAAGGCATGAAGAATAGGATAAGGGAAATGGTTTTGAGAGGTGTTGTTTTGGCAAGGACAGTATGTGAATTTAGGAGGATGTATGGCTTGTCTGCCATCTGCACAGGGTGATGGTGGCTGCAGCTCTCCACCTCTGTGGCGACAAGAACTTGGACCAGGTAGTTGTCCTAACGCAGAGAGACTCAAAGCAGATCCCACTGATGTCCTAAGACACCAGTGGGCCATTACCTCAAAGATTTTGAGAGGAAGAAAGCTGGAAATGTCATAGTTTTGCTGGTGGTAGAGAAATGAAGAGAAAATGTGCCTGTAGACAACCAAAGATGATATTTATGTGCTGATTGATCAGCTAAGGGAAACATCCTGGTGATAAACTACTAAAAAGAGAGTGGGAAGTGAACAGAAAAGGACTGAGAAATGTAACTGAAGACGCCCATTCGCTTCCTTCTCTCCCCTCCTTAGATATCTCCAGTGTTCACTCACTGTAGCATCCTGAATTTCAAGAAAACAGCAAGCACCACACAGCGGATGGGTTTTCCTTGTCTAATAGTCTACTTCAAAGAACAAGTTTCCTTTATGAGCCTTCACTGAGTTCAAATAAAAACAGGAATGCAGCTGGAGGTGATTGACCCAGGTCCTGAATCATACAACTTCCAGTTTACACAATCATTTGGACTGCAAATGTGGGACAGAAGTAGAAATCTGACCAAGAGTCAAAAGAATATCAAAACTGGGGCTAAAACTTAGCCCAGATTCACAATGCCTGGAATAACCAGCCAAGGCTCTCCTCTCTTCTCAACATCATCATTTTCTTAATGACCTGAGCTGACCATAGGGAGATCCCACACAAGTCTCTCCATTAAATGCCCTATTTCCAACCAGCCCCTTGTCGATGGGAAGGATGCAGAGCCCTGATGATTCCTGAAGGTGCCATTAACAATGCAGCTGCTCCACTGGGGTGGAACAAAGACAATGTCTTTCAGCCAGACACTGGCTGAACTTCTTAGAAATGAGAAGCTTCTCAGACATTGCTTGTCCAACTCTAAAAAAAATCACTTGAAGCCAGGTGCTGGAGGCTCATTCCTGTAATCCTAGCTACTCAGGAGGCTGAAATCTGAGGATTATGGTTTGAAGCCAGCCCAAGCAAGGAAATGTGTGTAATTCTTATCTCCAACTAACCAGCTAAAAACAAGAAGTGAAGCTGTGGCTTAAGTGGTAGAGCATCAGCCTTGAGTGAAAAAAATCTCAGTGATAGCATCCGGCCCTGAGTTCAAGCCCTAGTACAGCACAAAACATGCACACGTGCACACACACACACACACACACACACACACACACACACACACACACCAGAAATAAGCAAACAAACAAACAAAAACATCTAGGCATCAGTTGCTTATGCCTGTAATCCTAGCTACTTAGGAGGCTGAGGTCTGAGGATCCTGGTTCAAAGACAGCAAAAAACAGCAAGGTCTGTGCAACTCTTATCTCCAATTAACCACCAAAAAGCCAGAAGTAGAGAGGTGACTCAAGTAGTAGAGTTCTAGCCTTGAGCAGAAAAAGCTAAAGGATGGCACCCAGGAACTGAGTTCAAGCCCCAGTACCCACATAAATGATAAAAATAAGAATCATTTGAAGAACACTGATTGCAGAGTCCTAGGTCCCAGTCTAGATACTGGTTTAGTATATGGGAGACAGCCTGAGAATTTCCATTTCTAGAAGCCTGCTCTCTGGTATGCTGAAGTGGCTTGGGGACTGGACACAGAATTAGGGAATTATGGAGCTGGATGAGACTTTGGTGAGAAGCTCATTTTGATTGATCTGGGTGGCTTAAACCACTTCCTAGAATATAAGATAAACAGCAGACAGGACTCCATCTCAGCCAGGTTCACATGCATAACCCTGACAATCACCCTTTGTGGCAGAGGCTATTACTGAAGATTTCCTGTGTTCTGTACGATGAAATGAAGTGCACAGGGTTAAACCATACATCCACAGCCACACAAGGCCTCAGAAGCAGAGCCCAGATGCAAATGTAGAGTCTTCCCCAGTGACTACACTCTGAAACACCATCCAAGCTATGTACATTGATGTGTTCAAGACTTCAAAACACAGATGACAGTCAGGATGGATCTCACTTCCTGCATTTTCATCTCGTTTCATCTGGCCTCATAAGGGAGGCCGACAGACACTAATTCCTCCCCTCTCCAGGGCTATGCAGATCCCTATACAGCTCAGGCACAGAGGAGGGAGGCGAGGCCTCAGATTTATGGGCCTTTAGCAGCCATCTACCACCTTGGTGGTCATCACTGCCTCTTATCCCAGTGGATACTGAGTGCACAGATGATGAAGTGCAGGAATCTGAAGCTTTTCTCCCAGCTGCGCTTGTGTGCTCTAGAAAGAAAAACTCCAAGCACCTCTATCCTTTTTACAGCTACGTGTTGATTGATGCCTGCCAATCAAATTGCCTTGTCTTGCACCTACTCTTGCTGTGATATGTTATAGATTTTCATCTGCAAGTTTTACCAAAACTGTTCTTCAGTATAACTCATAGCCTGCTATGGTGATGCTCACCTGCAATCCCAGCACTTGGGAGGCTCAGAC